AGGAGGCATACAAACGCCTAGGCAGATGGGGCAGGTAGTTGGTGAAACCCCACCCTCAAGCCAAAAACAACCTGAAGGCTGAAAGACCCTAATGCTGGTTCTGGATGAAACCTGTGACCCAGAGTGAGAACTTCTGTTCCTGTTTGCCTGCCCTTTCCAAATTGTTTCTTTGTGAATAATGGCTTTTAACAGTCAAAAGTTGCCTTTTCCAGTACTACCAATGGCCTGCCCCTTCCCATGATGTGTCTATAAAAACCCCAGACTCAGCTTCAGTGGGGGAAGATGACTTGACTTCAGATGAAAGACCACCTTTCTGTCCCCTTTCCACTGAGAGCTATTTCATTTCTCAATAAAATTCTTCACCCTCATCACCCTTCAGTTGTCAGAATGACCTCATTCTTGAATGCAGGACAAAAATTCAGGACCTACCAAATGCAGATACTCAGAAAGCTATAACACTGTGGCTGTCTGTCCTCTGCCAGTGGAGAGCAGCCGCCCCAAACTACAGGAAGCAATGGCAGAGCTGAGCCAGCCCCAGACCTATAGGCCAGAGTGGGACAAGGGGCTGAACTGAGCTGTTAATATGCAGCTGTCTGTTAGGCTGCAGAGGCAGGACTAAAAAGCTGATTAGCATTTTGTAACACGCTTTCTGGGGCTTTGGGGATTTCTGCCTGGGCATCACCATGTTCCCCTCAGTGAGGCATGCCTAGTCCAGCTTCAAGCTCTGCACAGAGCCACCCTTGTGCCTGCATTTGGAACAGCCAGCCAGACCCTGCACTTGCTTGCCTCACACATACCCTCCTGCCAGGTACTGAGTGAGCAGTCACAGCAGCTACAGCAGCCACTGGCTAGAGTACAAGCCACATGCATCCTTGCAGGCTAAGTAGACAGGGTGTCTCTTGCTGCAAGCCAGGCAGAGGGGCCGAGAATAATCCTGCATCATATTGTTGTAGAAAATAAAATTTAGTTAGTATAGTGTTTGGCAAGATTGCGAAATAATTCTAACTATATGCCATTTATGAACGAGTAGCATTTAAATATAATAATTTAATGCCTTTTCTTATGTATATAAATTTAGGATGACTTAATGTTCTAAAATCTAGTGACTGACTGTCATAAAAGCTTAATGACTTGAGGCAAATCCAATTTGAGTTTCTACATTCCTAAAGTTGATTCATTTCCTTCTAATCTAGTGTTTTCATTGTCAATGATGTGTCTCTCTGCAAGACAGAATGTTCCAATTGCTTCTTGATTAGAAAAGCAATACTGATTTTTGCACCAAACAAATTTGTTCAGAATTGACAGAAAGACCAGAAATTACTGTCTTGTTGGATTTAGAGAAGTTACAATGTCAACATTGAATTCAGCTTCCTCCTTTTACATGTATGCCACTGTTATTAGGAGGACTTCTCAAGTGCAACTGAACCCTACTGAATGATTCAGACTATACTTTTAATGATCGCTTATCATGCTGACCATCAAATATGAGTGAGATAGCCGGGCGTGGTGGCTCACGCTTGTAATCCCAGCACCTTGGGAGGCTGAGGCAGGCAGATTTCAAGGTCAAGAGATCGAAACCATCCTGGCCAACATGGAGAAACCCCGTCTCTACTAAAAATACAAAAATTAGCTGGGTGTGGTGGCACATGCCTGTAGTCCCAGCTACTCAGGAGGCTGAAGCAGGGGAATCACTTGAACCCGGGAGTCAGAGGTTGCAGTGAGCCGAAATTGTACCATTGCTCTCCAGCCTAAGTGACAGAGTGAGACACTGTCTCAAAAAAAAAAAAAAAGAAAGAAATGTAGGAAAATACCTTAGGAAACATGTTACACATGACAATCAATTTGAAGATGAGTGATAAAGAGTGAAGAGAGGTGAATGTGGACTCACACTAAGCTGAAATCTAACACCAAGAAACAGTTTTTTTACAGTGTAAATTGTGATATTAAAAGCTACACTACAAAAAAAAAGTTTCTGTAAACAGAGATTCATTCTGTGCACTTCTCATTGTTGCTTTCTGAAAAGGACTGATGGATAAAATTATGGGGGAGATGGATTGTATGGCTTTATTTTCAGTCATTTACCCAGCATGAAATGGATAATGTGTTGTTTCATATTAGTATATTTTAGGTATAAAAAGAAATGTTACACAATCAGGGCTAAATAAATTACTTCAAAATGCATTAACAATTCCATTTACTAAGAAAATTACTAAATCTGTCAGAACAGACTTATATGGGAGATTTGGAGAGATACTGAGTTTTAATTGGAGGACAAATTTAAAATGCTCAGGTCTTGAACTTGGCAGTTTTTCTTTCACAATTTCTAGCAGTTTTAAAATAAGACACTTTTAAGGAGGTCTTAATTCTGTTAAAGCTATATTAAGTCCCCATATATCAGGTGAATGTTTACAGATTATATACCATACACACCCATGTATAAATTTTATTTTTCAGTGCTACTTTTTGTACACTTGTTAAGTTGGTTTTATTTTATGATTAACTTAGGACAGATTTAATGTTTGGATTGATGATCCCAATTCCCAAGTTGCTGATGATGGCTTATCATATATTCTTTTTCTCTACAAAAGCATAACTTGGGGCCATCAAGCCCAAATAAGGACTTAGATAAGCCAAGTTTCAGTTAAAGTTATAGGACAGTTAGAATGTTTTGATAGCATTGAAAAGAAAGCCTATTCTAAGGCCCAGAAAAAATAAAGACACATTAACCTAAAGAGGTAGAACCTACCCTATAGGATGAGTTGTTTTAGCACTGGTTGCATCAGATAATTAAGAAGCCAGGTGCTTTACTTATCATTTCTCTGCCTTTCATAGATAAGAAGGCTGATTTTTCTGTGCATAAGAAGGCTGCCAACAGAATCAGTACTACTTTGTCTTAGTTTATTTGGGCTTCTCTAATAACAGAATACCGTAGGCTTGGTGACTTAAACAACAAATATTTATTTCTAAGTTCTGGAGGCTTTATTTTGAAGTCCAAGGTAAAGCCATCAGTCAAGCCAGCAGTGTCTAGAAAGGGCTCACCTTCTGGTTCATGTAGAGTTCCTTTTTGTAATTTCTTCACATGGTGGAAGGAAGTGAGACAACTCCCTGGAGCTTCTTATATGAGGGCACTAATCCCATTCATGAGGGCTCCACCCTCATGGCCCAATCATCTCCCAAAGGCTCTGCTTCCTGATATCATCATTTTGTGGATTTGCCTTTGAACATATAAATTTGAGTGGACACAGACATTCATTTTGTAGCACACATGCTTTCTTTATCATGTCCAATGTAAAGACAGAATTTGACTTCATAATGCCCATTTTAAGAGTGAGTAATGACTTTGTGAGAAGCCATAATTATTACCTGTTATAGTTTGGTCATCTGTATCCCAAGACCATTTTTAAATTGCTCAGTAGAATGAAACTGCTTTTAGACCAACATACTTTATTGCGTAAACTGAGGTCACTTCTCCAGATAGCATTAGGGCTATTCAATAGATGAGAAAGTGAGTAGATAACAAAATTTCACTATTATTAACTGAAAGTTCATATCTCTCATACAATATCCTTCTAAGGTCTATATCCTTCTAACTAGAATATCATCCCAAGAAACCAACAGGTAAGAAGAATAGAATCCTGGAAAAAATTGCAATTTGAAGGGGTACATCAGTATTCACATCCCCAAAACCCAACAGTCAACTGTGTAATAAAACATGAAGAGTGATTTTTAGTAAGACAACGTAGCCTCATGACAGATTCCCTAACCCCCATAAAGGGAAAGAGCTTCCGTTTTTCAACAATCTCTTTATTTTAGAAACTTGCAGCCACACTTGCATGAAAATTGTCACCTTTATTGCAGTCCTCTAGTTCTGCAAGCTCCCATTACAAAGGCCCCACTTCCGGCTTTCTTCTTCAACTTTTGCCTCTTTATACTCTATTTCTGTACTATTTCAGTCAATGGCATTATTTTTTTAATATTTAAAAAGGCATGTTTTCTCCTTTCTGTAAGTTACTTAAGGCTTTCCATTTACTTCAGGGCAATGGAAAGCTCCACTGGCGTATGGTATAGAGTACTGGCACATCAAACAAACCAAAAATTTGGTTTTTTCAAATTTTTCCAATGATCTAAACAGTGAAAGAAGATAACACTAATTGGTAATACTATTCTTTAATATAATAGATTGAAACCCCACAAAAATAAGTCCAATTAGATCTGAACAATAAATATGTATTGGCACATACTATGTTTTTTTAAAAAGAGCCTGAGTCATATTATGTGTTTGCAGACATCAAAGAAGAAGAAAATATCATGTTTATGAAATCAAACAAGTATATGATGATGACTTCCTCAGGAATTTTAAAAGATGAAACTGAAGAATTAACTTCAATTTCGGAATTCATTATTTGTCTATTCATGGATTAGGTTTCTTCCTTGTTCAGTCTTCAGATGGTGTATGTGTCCAGGAATGTATCCATTTCTTCTAGATTTCCTAATTTATGTTTACATAGGTGTTTATAATATTCTCTGTTGGTTGTTTGTATTTCTGTGGGTTCAGTGGTAATATTTGACATCTCTGATTGCATTTATTTGAGTCTTCTCTCTTTTCTTCTGTATTAGTCTAGCTAGTTGTCTATTTTATTATTATTATTTTTTAAAAAGCTCCTGGATTCACTGAGTTTTTTTGAAGGTTTTTTGTGTGTGTCAGTCTCCTTCAGTTCAGCTCTGATATTGGTTATTTTTTGTGTTCTGCCAGGCTTGGGTTTGTTTGCTCTTGTTTCTCTAGTTCTTTTAGTTGTGATTATATGTTGTTAATTTGAGATCTTTCTAGCTTTTTAATGTGGGCATTTGGTGCCATAAATATTCCTCTTAGCACTGTTTTATCTGTGTCCCAGTAATTCTGGTACATGGTAACTTTGTCCTCATTAGTTTCAAAGAACGTCTTGATTTCTGCCTTAATTTCATTATATACCTTCTGCCTTAATTTTATTATAAGAACTCTTAGTCTTCAGGAGCAGCTTGTCCAATTTCCATGTAGTTACATAGTTTTGAATGAATTTATTAATCTTGAGTTCTAATTTGATTGCACTTTAGTCCAAGAGATTTTGTTATGAATTCAGGTATTTTGCATTTGCTGAGGGGTGTTTTACTTTTGATAATGTGATCAATATTAGAATATGTACCATGCAGTGATGAGAATAATATATAGTCTGTTATTTGGGGGTGGAGAGTTTTGTAGATATCTATCAAGTCTTCTTGATCCAAAGCTTAGTTCAGGTCCTGAATAGCTGTTAATTTTCTGTCTTGATGATCTGGCTACTATTTTCAGTTGGGTGTTTAAGTCTCCCACTATTATTGTTTGGGAGTCTAAGTATCTTTGAAGGTCTCCAAGAACTTGTTTTATCCATCCAGGTACTCCTGTGTTGGGTGCATATATATTTAGAGTAGTTAGCTCTTCTCATAGAATTGAACGCTTTTTCATTATGTAATACACTATTTTGTCTTTTCAGATCTTTGTTGATTAAAAGTCTATTTTTGTCAGAAAGTAGGATTGCAACCCTAATTTTTTGCTTTTTTCTGTTTTTCATTGGCTTGGTAAATTTTTATTCATCCTTTTATTTTGAGTTTATGGGTGTCTTTGCACATGAGATGGGTCTGTTGAAGAAAGCATACTAACGGGTCGTGATTCTTTATCCAACTTGCCATTCTGTGTCTTTTAATTGGGGCATTTTGCCCATTTACATTAAAGGTGAGTATTGTTAAGTGTGGATTTGATCCAGTCATCATGATGTTATTTTGCAGACTCGATTATGTGGTTGCTTCATAGTGTCACTTGTCTGTGTACTTCAGTGTGTTTTTGTAGTGGTTGGTAATGGTTTTGCTTTCCACATTTAGGGCTTTCTTAGGGAGCTCTTGTAAGAAGGTTTAGTAATAACAAATTTCATCAGCATTTGCTTGTCTTAAAGATTCTTATTTGTGAAAATTAGTTTGGCCAGATATGAAATTCTTTGTTGTAAATTATTTGCTTTAACAATGCTGAATGTTGTTCCCCAGTCTCTTTGGGTTTGTAGGTTTTCCACTGAGAGGTCCATGGTTAGTTTGATGTGTTTCCCTTTGTAGGTGATGTGGGCCTTCTCTCTATCTGCCTTCACATTTTTTTCCCTTCATTTTGAGCTTGGAAATTTGATGATTATGTGTCTTGGGAATAATTTTCTCATGGAGTATCTTACTGAGGTTCTCTGAATTTCGTGAAATTGAATATTGGCCTGTCTTGTTAGGTTGGGAAATTCTCCTGGATGATATCCTGGAATATGTTTTCCAAATTGGTTCCATTCTCCCCATCTCTTTCAGAGAGCCCAATCAGCTGTAGATTCAGTCTCTTACAATAATCCCATATTTCTCAGAGTTTTTTTCATTCCTTTTTTTTTTCATTTTTCTCTATTCTTGTCTGCCTGTCTTATTTTAGAAAGTCTTCAGGCTCTGAGATTCCTTCACTTTGTCTATTCTGCTATTAATAAGTGAAATTGCATTGTGAAGTTCTTGTAGTGTGTTTTTCACCTCTATCAGGTCAGTTATGTTCCTCTGTATACTGGCTGTCAGCTTCTGTATTTTAAAATTATGATGCTTAGCTTCTGTTCATGAAGTTACAACATGCTTCTTTAGCTCAGCAAAGTCCTTTTAATCCACATTCTGAAGCCCATTTTTGTCATTTCAACCATTTCAGCTTCAGTGCAGTTTGGAACCCTTGCTGGAGAGGTGTGGTGGTCATTTGGAAGAAAGTAGGCACTCTGGATATTTGCGTACAGTGTTTTTGAACTAATTGTTTTTTCTCATCTTTGTGTGCTTATCTACCTTCAATTTTAGAAATTGGTGACCTTTGGATGGGGTTTTTGTGTTATTTTTTGGTTGTTCTTGTTTTCTGTTTGTTTCTTGTTCTTTTAACAATCTGTCCACTCTTCTGCAGGGATGCTGCAATTTCCTGAGGGTCTCCTCCACATTCTAGCTGCATCAGTTTTTCTAGCACTTGGGGGTATCACCAGTGAAACCTGTGAAACAGCAAAGATGGCAGTCAGCACCTTCCTCTGGAAGCTCCCTTCCTGGGGAGTGCTTACCTTTACCAGCCTGAATGTGCCTTAGGGGGTGTCTGGAGACACCTGTTGGGAGGTCTCACCCAGTCAGAAGGAACAGGATTAAGGTCCTGCTTAAAGAAGCAGTATGGTTGCTTTTTGGTAGAGCAGCTGTGCTTTGTCGGGGAATCCTTCAGCTCCTGATTGGTTTGGGCTCTCACAGGCCTATAGGCTGGACTGGCTGAGATCCCCAAACAGCCAAGGTGATGGCCTGCCCTACCCCCTTACCACTCCATCCCAGGGAGAAATTAGAACTGTTGGCTGTAGAACATGGGTTGTGGTAGCCAGAAGCCGTGGCTGAAAGGATCCATCCAGCGAGAAGGAAAGGATCTGAGTCCCACTTAAAGAAGCAGTCTGGCCAAGCCTCAACAAAACAGTCATGTCATGCTGAGCAACCACCTCTGCCCTGGTCAGTTTGGACTCTCCAGAGTCTCTTAGACAAATTTTATAAGCATAATACTCAACAAAACAAGTCATAGGCTAAACAGTACACAAATATCATTTTCTCTAGCTACAAGTTCTTTATCAACCCAAGCATGCTCTACTACCCTGCAGTATTAAAAACCAAAGACAGTGTGCAGTGGTTTAAATGTTTGGCTCAATCAAAGCTTATACTTAAATTGAAACTTAATTCCCAATGCAACAACATTGGGAAGTGGGCCTTTAAGAGATAACTGGGCATTCAGGGCTCATTTCTCATGAATGGATTAATCCATTCATTGATTAATATATTAATAGTTGTGATGGGAGTGGGACTGGACAGGAGGCTGTGTAAAGAAAAGGAGAGACCTAAGCTCTTACCTTTAGCGTTCTCACTATGTGATTCCCTGTGCTGTCCTGGGGTTCCACAGAAAGTCCTCACCAGTGAGAAGAAAGTCCTTACCAGCTGCCTTGGGGTTCCACAGAAAGTCCTCACCAGATGCAGCTTCTAGATGCTGGATTTCCCAGCATCCAGAAATTTAAGGATTTTTAGTTTTTTAATAAATTACCCATTCTCAGGTATTGAGTTATAGCAACAGAAATGGACTTACACACATTGCCCTTAAATTAGTCTATCACAATTTATTTTAATAAAGGTTTCTTTAATAAATTTTCCTTTCAAAAAAGGAGCTGATGATACTAATTTACAAAATGATACATTTTTTACGCTCTTCCCCCCTGGTTTTGGTAGTTTCTTCATCTCCCTACCAACCACAACATTGATTGATTTATGGGTGACAAGAGGTCTTAGAGGTACTTTCTGTTGTCCTGTCATAATTTCTTCCTTTGTGGTCAACTTCGAGGCCAGGGGTTAAAGTTTATACTGACAAAAATCTGAGCTTCTTTTAGCATCATTCATCTTAGCTAGTTCAGATAACAGTTACAAAGGGATTTTATGTTTAACATACTTCTTATTATTTTACATTTTCTTACAAATCCAATGAGCCAACTCCATGAAAGCCAGGTCTACCAGCACTTCTAAGTTCATTCAATAACTTTTATTCTTAGTAACTGATTTCAGTACAGCTACAGTTTTATACCATATCGAGCTAGGTATTCATCCAGGAACCAATTATTATCTTCTGCCTTTTTATGCTTTTCTTTCCCAAACCACATTTCCTTGATTCAAGTCCAGTCTAGCAAATCATACTTGTACAAACTACTATTATTATGATCCATTTCTACTCACAAAACTTCTTATACCAAATGTGTGGTGCTGTTTCATACTAGCATCCACTATTGGAACTCACTGAAAACCAACTATACTCAATTCAATTCTGATGCAAACTACCCAGAGTTCATGTAACAACACACAAGTCAAAGGCTCAGTCTCACAAGGCTGCTCCCACTTCAGATGCCCATTACAAGTCCAGTCCTTCCATACTTTTGGCCAATTGGCTACACATCATTGGAGGTATCGTGACACCCTCTTTAGGTTTAACAATATATTAGAATAGCAGAGACAAGGCAAAAGAAGAATTTGCTTATATTCAATCGTTCATAATCAAAGATATTATAAAGCATACAGATGAATAGCCAGGTGAAGAGGTACATAGGGAGAGGTCTGGAAAGGTACTGAAGGCAGGAGCTTCTGTCCCAGGGAGTTAGGTCCATTCTTCCAGCACATGGATGATTTCACCAATGTGAAAGCTCTCTAATCCTTTATTTAGGGTTTTTATGTAGGCACTATATAATTAGGGATGATTGGTGAAATTATCGATTTTGGTGATAAGTACAATTCCCAGCCTTTCTCTTCTCCCTGAAGTCCCCCATGAATGAAACTGAAATTTCCAAACTTCTAATCTCACAATTGCTTTTTCTGGCAACCAGCCCCTCCTGAAGCCATCTAGGAACTTCTAGACGCTAACTTAGGAGTGATTAAAAGGGGCTTGTTACGAATATCAAATTATACTTCTATCAATCTTAACACTCCTGAGGTTACAAGGATTTTAGAAGTTCTGTGCCAAGAACAAGAGAGGAAGATCAAATATATATTTATTGTTATGTCACAATATCACATTGGTTATTTAAGTTAAATTATAGTTAAAGCATAAATTAATATTATAGATTAATTATACACATGCATGTCAATATCTTGGCTACCATAATTGTTAAATATAATGGACACCAGATAAAATTAAGGGGCAGAGAAGACTAAGCAAAAATGTGATAAGAGCGAAAATTATGTCCTTTTGTAGATAATCAAGGTTTAGACTAATGAGTTTACAATGGATAGACAGAAAAATGGAGATTTAAACAAATTTTAGAATTAGGAAGAAAAAAATCTGAAAAAATATATAAATAAGAAAATATTGAGATAGGAATGAAAAAGAAATGTAGATATAGGGTTAATTAAATGAATTATCAAACTTCAAAAAGTAGAGTTAACAAACAATTTATAAATTTGGTTTGGGGGTGAGAAGTGGGGTTGCCAGTGA